GTGGCAGAAGGTTGAAGATGGGCGGGGGGAGTTAATCATAGGGACACACAATTTGCTGGGTGGAGGGAGGGGTAAAGGAAATGGGAAAGATCTGGTGTGAAAACAAAGTATATGAACTTTGTCAGTAAACCAGTATAAAATAAAAATACCAACCCCCCAAAAAATCAATAAACTGCAACTTAAGGGGGGAAAGTAAAAAAAAAAAACAAAAAAAAACCCCAACACCCTACTGACTAAAACTAAAAGAATAACTGCCACTGAGTAAGCTCCGACTCACAGCAACCCTCTGTCAAGTTTTAAGACTATAAATTTTAGTGGGAGGAGATTTTCCATTTTCTCCCAAGAATAGCGGGTGGATTTGAAACTTTGGAGTCATGCAGCCTTCTGGTTAGCAGCACAGCACACTATGAATACCATCATGAATGAAAGAGCAAACAGACCTGTCCTGGAACAAGTGCAGCCAGGGTGCTCCTTTGAGGCAAGGATGGCGAAACTATCTCCTGTCTTTGGAGCCCATGTGACCCCGGGAGTGGTCAGTCGCTGAGAAAAGACAACATGCTTTGAAAAGTGGAGGCATGGCAAGTGGGAGAAAGACGCTTCTTGAGATAGATTGACACTGTGACTGCAAAAATGGGCTTGAGCATGATGGAAATGTTGAGACTGGTTCAGGATCATTCAAGGTTCCAATATTTTGTTCATAAGGTCACAAATGAGTCTTAGTCAACTTGATGACACCTACTGACAACAACAACAATTTGGCTGAGCATTCAGAAGGCCCTTTTGATAAAGAAGCTCAACTGAAAAGTTGAGGGGAAGACTCCAACGAAGATAAAATCTAGACTTTCTGGCAGACATTTTTTGTAAGATCTTGCCCCTATTTTCCTTCCCGTTGTTTCCTCCATTCTGTCTTGCTCACGTTGACTTTTCTGAGCTGCAGCTTCCGTGGGCATCTTTTCTCTCTTATTCCAACTCTTTTGTCTCCTGCTTCCTGGGAGGTCTCTCCAGTTTGAGCTTCTACACCACGTAATGAATTTCAACCCTCTCCCATTATATTTTTTATTTCCAAGAGCACTCTTTCTTGCTCCTTTTATCAGAGCTTCCTGATGTCTCCTGAATCCAGCATCTTATCTTTCCAAGGATATTAATCCAGAGCCCTAGACCACTCGACCCCATGACCACCCGCTCTGAGGATATGAATGACAGTGTTTTAAAGTTCATGTTTTTCTTGCATTGCCAGTGCATTGTCTCTGTTCTGTTCCGTAGAGTTTACTTAAAATTTTAAAAATTGGTTTTTGTTTTTTCATTTTGTAATTTTCCTCAAGAGACCAGTCACCCTTGATTGTCCGTATTTTAGAGTCGGTCACTAATAGCTGTCCAGATGCTCTATGAAAGTGTGAGGAGGGACTTTTCAATTTACTAACTTCATTATCGGGCCAATTTATTTCTTCTTCATTATCTGGCCATTTTGTTGTGACATTTTATTTATATTAAATAAAAGAAATGATCAGGCCTGTCTCTGAGGAGCCTTTGGATAGGTTCAAACTGCCAACCTTTTGATAATAAAAAAACCTAACCACTTCCCCAACCCAGGGGCAAAATAATGGACTGAAGCATACTGTTGATAGTTAAGATGTCACAGGACTGAAGGGGGCTATGGTGACCTAGTGGCAACAACAGGCACTGCAATCCTGAAGATGTGCAATTTGAATCCACCAGATGCTCTGCTGGAGAAGGAGGGGCAATCTCCTCCTGTACCAGTTGGATCCAATTTGACACACAAAAAATAATAACAAAAAATATATATATTTGATATGATAGATCAAATTAAATGAATAACAAATATTTCATTTAAAATAATTTTATATCATTAAATCAATTATAAAGAATTAATACAATTATTTTATATGTTTGTTGTTGTGTACCATAATTTGGATCCTCTGGTGGGTTTTCAAAGGCAGTTATTCACACAGGAGGAGATTGACTATCCTTCTCCTGTGGAGAAGCTGGTGGCCTCGAACTGTGTCCCTTTGAGATTGTAACACAGTTTATTGCCACTAGGCCACCAGAGCTAGAATATATACTAAGAATATACCCTATGAAATACAGGAGAAGGATAGGCAATCGCCTCCCATGTGATTTACTGCCTCTGAAAACCTGTTAGAGGGTCAATTAGTGTCTAGCCATTTTATTTCTTCCCACTCAACAAGATCTGGAAGGTTCTCTCTGGAACCAACTAGTTTTCAGCCTGGGACATGGAAAGGGCAGGAAAAGGACAGAGAATTGGCATGACTTAAGCGGCAGAAGGAGCCAGGTTTTCTAAAAATGCAATACAGGCCTTAATTGTCCTATTTACTACTTACACCCTCATTAGATGTCCCTGGTTCAGTCTCCTCAGGGAGATAGAGAAGGAGCCACAGAGTTGCATAGGAAAGGCGAGGGGCTGGGGGGTGGGGTGGAGAGGCATAGGTGCCATTGCTGCTTATTGATGGCTCAGAGGCAGAATCCTCCTCTCTCATGTGGAACACTCGGGTTCAGTTCCGATCAATGCATCTCACACGAAGCCACCATCTGCCAGCAGTGGAGGTTTTCATGTTGCTATGATGCTGAGCAAGTTTCAGCAGAGCTTCTAGACAAGGACAAACTTGAGAGAAAAGTCTTCCAAAACGTTGTGGATCACACACAACATCTCCAGTCCCCAGAAGATCGTGGAGATAAACAACCAGTCATGAGATGGCACAGGACATGTTTTCCACTGTGTATGGGTCACCATGAGTCCCCTCTATTGCTGCAAACAGCCACATACATCTCTCAGCTCTGCCCTCTCTTCCAAAGCGGCAGTGTCTCCAGCTCTTGCCCCTTACGGCTTCATGTGGCAAGCTTAATCTACGTCTTGTTGACTGTCCCTTCTATAGACACTCAGTTTGAGATTTCTCAGCTCTGCTAATTCCTCCATCTGCTTCCATCTCCCCCAAATCTGTGGACATCTGTTGCCTGCTGACGTCATCTCTCTTCACTGTCCTTGTGTGTATTCACTTCCTTTTATGCCTGTGCTCTCATTTCATTGGGCCTGGGAGGGAACGGACATGTGCTGAACTGGCCACGCAGGGTAGATAGGGTGTCTCTGCAGATCTTTCTGAAGAGATTGCACTCCTGCTTTGCTTCCTTGACATACTCCAGGGCCCTGAACCAGATCTTTGCTCCCAGAAAAATGTGGCTTCCTTGTCATCAAGATCAATTTTATTAAGGAAAGGATAATAGCATAAATATAGTCTGAGCTCCGCTGTACCTGAAGATGTTTGCTTTAAATGAATTTTCAAGGGGATTTTATTTTTGTATAATTTGCTTTTCTTCCCCCTTACTGGTTTGCTCACAAAATTCACTTACATGTGTTTCACACTATTCTGTAATTTGCTTTTTCTTAAAAACAAGTATGATACAACTTCTGATTAACTATTAACAGCTCCACTGAGATGGGTCCTGGCTCATCAAGGCTTCAGACAAGTTTCAACTTTGACCGAAATGAACTGAATCGTCTCTAGCTGACATCTTTTTGAAAAGTCAGTAGAGTGACCTTTCGCAGAAGGAGTCTGACTTATTCAAGGAAGCTGAACAGTATCTGAGGGCCTGAAAAGTCCTTTGACACCCCAGCAAGACCACACATGTGCTTTTAGGGTTCTTACTCATCAAAGCAAACCCTCCTAGCCCTAGCAGACGTGCACACGGAGCCTTTAATTGGCGTGGATGATTGTTGTTAGCCACTGTTGAGTTCGTTTAATTTGTAGTCACCCCTTATACAACAGGGAGCTCTGGCATCTTAGTGGCACGGAATTGAGCTGTTAACCCAAAGGTCCATGGATTGAATCCACCAGCTGTCCCGCAGGAGAAAGATGGACATTGTCGTCCTATATGATTTACTGCTTCTGAAAATCTGCTAAAGGGTCAGCCTTGGGTTGGTTCCAACTCGATGGTACATAACAACAACACTTTATGCAATAGAATTAGACATTACCTAGTCCTGGGATGTCTTTAGAGTCAATGATACGCATCAATGCATTATTTTTGCCCTGGGCGGGGTAAGTGGTTAGGCATTTGATTACTAAGGGAGAGGTTGGCATTTGGAATCCATCGAGAGATTCTTCAGAAGACAGATCTGATACTCTGTGGTCAGGACAAGCTCCACTCTAGGGGAGTTCTACCCTGTACACACATCAGAACCAACACATGGGAGCTAAAAGGAATGGTTGCAGCCACTGTGTATTTTGAGCGTCTTCCAACCTATGGAGTTCATCTTCCAGCCGTTACACAGGGCAAAATTCCGTTGTGGTTCATGAGTTTTTAATGGACTAAATAATGGAGAAAGCTCTGGTGGTGAAGCCCACTGAGAGTTCTAGTGTTAACCCAAGTACTGGGGGAGGTTGAGGCGCAGTCCCCTTCCATTAACATGTACAGACTTGGCTGCCGTGAGTTTGAGGTTTTTTTTTCAGTTGAGGAAGCAGATTACTAGGCCCTTCTTTCCATTCCACCTTAGTCTGGGGACTTTGCTCTTACGTGTCCATCATGGGTGACTGACTGTCCGTTGATATGTGACTGGCAGCTGGGTTTTCAGCCTCGACAGGATGAGACACAGGCGGTGGGTTAAAGGTGACTTTATACTCTGTGACGGATCTCTGGTGGCTTAGTCTGGAGGGAGTTGCACTGCTCTAATCCTAAAGCTGCTCCTCTCAGTTCGAATCCACCAGCGGTTCCATGGGAGAAAGATGGGCAGTCTCCTCCCGGGTGATATTGCAACCTTAGAAATCCCAATCTTCTGTAAAGATTTAGCTGTGGAAACTCTGTGCAGGCAGCCCTAGGGTTGCTGTAACCCAGAAGGGACTATGAGGGGGTGGGTTCAGTTTGAGTTTGGTGGGGTTTGTGCCCTGTGGGCGGGGCATAGGGAGGTGGGCGTGGTTTGTGGAGGCCACACTGATGAGCGCGCATCTTGTCTGTCCTTCCGTTTCCAGGTGCCCCCTTTCAAAGGTCTCAGCATCCTCACGCTACCTCCTGCCGCCACTTCCACCTGGGCCCCCCACAGCCGCAGCAGCTCACCCCCGACTTCCCCCTGGCCCACCCCGTGCAGTCGCAGCCGGGCCTCAGCGCCCACATGGCCCCGGCCCACCAGCACAGCGGCGCCCTGCACCAGTCGCTGACCCCGCTGCCCACCCTCCAGTTCCAGGACGTCACAGGTCCCTCCTTCCTACCTCAGGCCCTGCACCAGCAATACCTCCTGCAGCAGCAGCTCCTGGAAGCCCAGCATCGCAGGCTGGTCTCGCACCCCAGGTCAGTGCAGCGGAGGGGTGGGGTCAGGCATCGAGTATGGGCTCCCAGGCCTGCTTCCTACCTCTCCAGTGAAATTCCCTGAGGACCCACCTGTAGGGATTGGAGTGCATGGGGCATAAGGGGGATACACACATACACACAGAGTTATGAAGGAGAAGTTACCATAACTTAGAGTAGTCAGGGAGGACTTCCTGGAGGAGGTAAGCTGTGACCTGTGCGATGAACTCTGTAAAGAGTGTGGAGAAAGGTCAAGAGATAAGAAGAGATGAAAGTGTGTGCAGGAGGTGGGTCTGTGTGTCTGAAGACAGTCTTGCCAAAGACAGAGAGAGAGCAGCCGGAGAAGAGAAAGAAGAGATGAGAATGTTCAGGTGAGATCAGATGAGACCTGAACCCATGTGAATGTGCAGTTCTTGGAGGCCGCTCAGCCCAGCTGCCTTCTTTGGAGTTTGAGTGAAGCCCACTCTTCCCTCTATAGGGGGATTATGAGAGGCATCCTGGGCTGACTGGGGTTGTCTGGAGCTCCCAGGAGCTAGGCTGGCCCCAGCAGCCCTGACGCTATGAGCCTTCTTCCCTCTGATGCAGGCGGAGTCAGGAGCGTGTGTCTGTCCACCCCCATCGCCTCCACCCCAGCTTCGACTTCGGCCACCAACTGCAGACGCCTCAGCCCAGGTATTTGGCTGAGGGCACCGACTGGTGAGTCTCTGGGGCCTCTGAGGGGAGGTTGGGTATGTGAGGAGAGGAGCCTTGCTTTGTTAGAAGAGTTCCTGTTTCCTTCACTTAAAGGCTTTAGGTGACCTGGTCCTCAGGGCCAGGGCTCTTACCTGGACCTGGTTCCAGCAATGAGCTCTGATTTAACAGAATGCTGCCTTGCACTCTCTGTTCAGGGTCGTTCTGTGGGGCAGAAGGAAACACGGATGCAAAACATCTCTCAAGGTTAAATGAGTCTAAGTGCGGACTGGAGACTTCTGAATAGCTGGGGTGGTCAGGGAAGACTTCCTGGAGGTGGTAGACCTCAAGGAGTCACAGAGAAGTGCCTAGACAATGACAGCAGTGTACTCAGAGTGAGAAGGGTCTGTAAACACAGAGCCAGCGGAGGAATCTCGGCCCTGAAGCAGTAAGGCCGACCCTGGTGGGATGAGAAGTGGGAGGAGAGGGTATGGTTGTGTGTCTCTCTGGTCCCTCTGACATCGCCCCACAGTCTTGTGCACTCAGGATGGTGATCTTCCCTGGCCTGGGATACAGTATAGCTAGATTTTGGCTTCTGGGGTTGATTAAAGGGTTGATCTAAATTCAGGTCAGATCAGAACACGTATAGACTTGAAAAAGACATGTAGTTCACTGAAGTATTTAGAGGGAGAGAGCATCATGTTTGAAATGTATTTTTAATTATTCACAAAAACCTAGATAAATATAAATATGGACACAAAATATATTTATATGTATTCATATATAGCATCTATGTTTATCTTTCTATATATATTATATATCTCCATGGAGAAATGTGTGTGTGTGTGTGTGTGTGTGTGTGTGCGCGCGCGCGCATGCGTGGGTGCACGTATGCATGTGTGTGTACAGAGTGAGAGAGAATAAAAAATCAGAGTAAAATATTAACATTGGAGAATCGAGGTGAAGAATCAGGAGCCCTGGTGGCACAGTGGTTAAGCACTTGGCTGCTGAAAGGTCCATAGTTTGAACATCCCCAGCTGCTTCATGAGAGAAAGTTACCACCCTGGAAATTCTACAAGGCCGTTCTACTCCATCTAATGAATTTGCTATGTTTTGGAAGCATCCTAGCGACAATGGACTTGGTGGACAAAGGGCATTCAGACATTCTTTGTACTGCTCTTAGAAATTCCATGTAAAAAATTTTTTAAAGAACATCGAAAAGGAAAGGAAAATTAGTGGATAAAAGGCACTGTTTTGGAAAACCCAACACACAGCCGGGTTGTGTGGTTTTCTGGCCTGGCCAACTGTCCTCATCCAGGGCTGCTTTGGGAAGCCTTCTGGACATCCAGGAGTGACTCAAAAGGATAACACCAGTTGATTGAGCACCATTAAGAGATGGAATTGTGCTGCCTATAATTACACATTTTAATCTTAATCTCTCTCCTGTGGTTACGATCCCTTTGGGGAATCTGTTGCCTTTCTAATGTTGATGAGACAAGATGCAGGGTGTGTCTTGAGTCAATCTCTTTTGACATAAAAGAGACATACAAGCAAACAAGAAGTAGAGATGGGAAAGACAGATGTTACATCACATGAAGCCAGCCCAGGAGCAGAAGCTGAAAAGGACTTATCTGTATGTCCCAGAACCGACACAGAAAGGCTTCCTCTAGAACCAACACTGAATTTGGATCTCTAGCCTCTCAAACCAAACAAATACATTGCTATTTGTTAAAACCATTTCATTTGTGGCATTTCTGTTATTATCGGGATTGAGAACAAAGGCAAATGCTGAAGATGCTTTTAAATGCAGGGGACACTTGTTTTCACATGCTCCATATTTTCCTGCCCTCCGTTCACTCTCAGATACACCTCCATTAAGCTGAACAATCCCTGAAAAAATAGATTGCACCACAACCAACTTCAGCCCAGCTCTTTTTAGAATTATGAGTCAAATAACAAAGATACAGTTGCAGTTTGGGTTAGATTCAGTCCCTCAGCAGTCACTCAACTTACCACACATAATCTGCATATGGTGAAAATATTTGAACAAACCCACAGGGTCCAAGGTGGCATGTGTGGTTGACCAGGAGACCAGGTGGGGCATTTGTCTTGGAGAGAAGTCAGGAGAAGTCATATGTGTGTTAACTCTATTTCCATCTTTCTTTAGTTAATCAAACTTCTTTGTTCATCTCCTTTGTTTTAATCACCCTGCATTCCTGATCCATGCTTTCTGTCTTCTTGTTGTTTGCCATCGAGTTGGAAATAACCCATAGCTGTACCTCTCACAGGTTTCCAGAAGCTGTTAATGGCATGTGAGAAAACTGCCCATCCTACTGGGGAGCAGCTGGTAGATTTGAACTGTGCACCTCTGAGATTACATCCCAGCACAGTCTCTTACCAGTAGGCCAGCAGAGCTCCCTACTTGCCGTGAGAAGCATTTAAAATTGAGACCCTGCTTAACTGATCCTGGTCTAGCTGGGAAGAGGGAGGCCCCTTCCCGCTCGCCCCCAGTTTCCTATCTGGCTGCTCTGTCCCTGCTTTCTAAGGAGGAAGTCTTCTCCAGAGGAGGAGGCGGCAATGATTTCTCCTCCCATGTAATTAGCTCTGCTCCAGCAAGGGTCATCAGTCTCGTGGTAACAAGGGACTTTTGTAATTGTGATAATGCTAACTCCATCCCCAGCTCGCTTTCCTGGAGAGGCCTCTTCTGCCAGATGAGCAGCTTGATCGATGGAGGACAGAGCATGCGTTAGAGCGGGAACTTCTCTGACTCTGCAAGGAGCCCGGTGGGAGGCGGGAGAGGGCAGTGTCTGCAGCTGGAATCCTGTCCTAGGGCGTTTCAGTTATTGGCCTAGGGACCCTGGTCCTGTCTCAACTGAGGCAGTCCTAATCGTTTCCCTTTGCTTTGGAATATTCCAATCCTACTCAGGCAGCTTCTCCCAGCTGAGTATCCTAACCTGAAAATGCTGAGAGAAATTCAAGAAGCCCCGAATACATGGAGAAGTATATCGCATTCATAGATTAAGAGACTCATTATTTTCAAGATATCACACTTACCCCATGTTGGACTACAAATTAAATCCTAACTATTCCCCTTTTCTGACCCAGGCCCTATAATCTGAGCTCTGATTTTAAGTCATAGCTCTCCTGGTCCTCCTCTGACTCAGTCCTGGCTTCTCAGCTCGAACTCTAAGCCCAGTGTGGACTGCGCCCTGCTCAACCCCAGCCGTTGTCCTGGCCAAGGCAGACCCCTCTAATACCCGGGGCCTGTGGGCAAGGAGTGGGTGCAGGATGGCAGGCTCCTGTGGTCCTTTTCCTCAGGCAGCCCCTGCCTCATCAAAACCTCTTGGGGCTCTGAACATCTGGGTTCGCCCACAAGATGATAACCCAGCAGTTTGGGGAGACATTCTTTGGGAAGAATTTAAGGGATTGCATAACAACCAGACCACAGCACACTTTCCATAACACTAGCAGTGGAAAATAAAGTTAAATGTGATGTCTAGACATAGCTAGGGGAGCTCTGGTGGTCTAATGGATAAGGAGTTGGCTTGACAATCCAACCCAAAGGCAGGTGGTTTAAGCCCACTGGCCACTCTGAAAGAGAAAGATGGGCAGTCTCTTCCTGTGTGGTTTCCAGATTCTGAAAATGCGCTGGAGGGTCAACTACATATCAGTGTCAACTCAGTGGCACTTTTGTAACCAAAGCACTATACATTGACAATTTCTAGAAGAAATTCCCCATACAAGTTCTAGTTTAAACTTGTGGTAAGCTCCAGGCAAAGGCTGACCTGTTGGGTATTTTCTTGATCCCTCAAAACTCATCCAAGTTCTAACAGGCTGATGACAACAGTGGAAAGGTAAGGGAAGCTGCTGTAAGAGGCTAAGGACTCCTCAGAACAAGTCCAACCCAGACTTCTTGGGTTCTGTGGAACTGCGCATTACTGAGAGAGGCTGGATGCAGGAAGGGATTGTCTGATGGGACTACAAGTGGGGGATCCAAGAGCCCACCCTGGACCAACCAGGATAGACGATAATACACATCTGGGTACACAGACTTACTGGGTTTGCTTTCTTGGAACTGGGGTAACTCTGTTTGTGCTACGCTCCAAGTTCCTTGCTTTTGGTGAAATTCCCTGAACATCTCTTTGCTCCTTGAACTTGCTTGTCCCCCAGAGACGGCTGGTGTGCAGAGCTTCAGCCGTATGAAGGTGTTCCATAGAGCCCCTTTCCCTGGAGAGGTGCAATGGGATGAACCCAGGCAAGGCTCAGAAACCCTGGGTGGTGCCTAATGTATTAACCAAGGATCTTGGATAAGACAAAGGCTTTCTTTTTGTCTCATCTGGCCTGCTCAAGTGCAGGACTGGCCTAGTCGATTTCTAAGCCTGGTTCCAACTGACTCCCTCCAAGAGTTTAGCTCATTTTCCAAATGACAGACTCATAATGAGTTATTTCAGAGATTCGGGCTAATAATAACCCCTTGCATTTGTAAGTGCTCTTGCAGAGGGCTTTCACATCCATTTTCCCATCTGATCGCCCAACTTCCCTGTGAGGAGCAATTGCTCTCATCATTTTAGATGAAGCTCAGAGAAATGAACTCACTGGAGAAGGTCTCAGCTACATGGGGTGGAACTGGGACAAGGAGCCTGGCCTTCTGATGATGAGTTCCTGTCCTTCTTGGACAGTGCCGTGTGTGTGTAGCCTGTGAGGAGGGTGATCAGTCCTGCTTTCTCACAGCAGCTAGATCTGGGCTATGGAGAGAGAAGCGGGTGAGGCTGGACCCTGGGGACTGGTCAAGAATTATGCTACCAATGCAAAGATACGAGGTTTGAATCCACCAGCCGCCCCACAGCAAAAAGATGGACATTATTCTCCCATGTGATTTACAGCCTCTGAAAACCCACTGGAGGGTCAGCTTCGGGTCAGTTCTGACTTGATGGCACAGAAAAACATGCCACTTCTCTGCACTCACTGTCCTTTAAGCATGACTGATTCAGGGAACAGGGAACAGGGCTCAGATCCCCTGATATCAG